TCGTTCACATAAAGGAAGGAGGAAATGAAAATACTGCTGTTCTTCAAAGTCATACGTTGGGAGTTTTTGTTCCATTTTGGTTTCACATTAAGCTCCTCCACCTCCTTCCTAAAGATGGAAAGAGGCCCTTAACCACAAATTCTGGCTTTTGCTTTTTAGAGCCTCACAAGGAAGACATTAATATTTAATAGCATATCCAGTTCAGGCTCAACCGTGCACTTCCACTCACAGGAGCAGCTCAGGAAACTTTTCAGCTGCAAAACGGTATTTTATTCAGGGCCCCTTCATTCACACCAGCATTAAGTTTGGGTGATAAGTTCAGTGCTGTCAGCAGTTAATGCCAGGTTGGTGTTTCTCGTGGGTGGCTGTGACAACACGCTGCCCCCATCCTCCCAATCCAGTCATCCTGCAGGACAGAGTGCAGCTGGGAAGGTGAACAATGACTGTCAGCATGAACTTTAACATTCATTTAGTTTTTGATGGAGGAAAAACTTGGAGGTAAGGGGAGAGTAATTACTGCCAAATCTTTAATAAGAAGAGTCAGGCAACTCATGTAATATAGGCAGGCTGATCAGGGAATGGTGGGTGGGGTAGTTGGAAACTTTCAAAGGAATTAAGGCCCATCGTTGCTCTATGTAAAAAAACACACACACAAAAACCCACTCGTTATACTGGAGTGAATTAAGGATAGTTTCCAAAACAGAACCGTCAGCTTTAACTACCAGAGAAGTAGCAGTTAGATAAACATGTCTCAAGAGAAAAATCCAGTACTATCAGAAATCTTTAAAAATGAAGGTATTTAGTAGTACAAAAGGTTTTTAAAGGACTCACAGTTAAAGAACAGAATAAAGAAATGGAAAGAAATGCTTAACGATTTCTTAGGACTTCATATGAACAGCTTGTTTACCCTATACATGTAATTCAGACAGGTTTAACCCTTTGCACTCCGAACCATTCTGGACATTGGCTACCAGCTACTCGACGCTACTTTGCGGCGGAAACGTGCATTTACAGACCCTCGTATTATTTAGTATAATTTTGGAACCAAGTAACGTATTATAATGATATTGGACTTATATGAATTGGGTGACATCGAGGAATGTATATTTGCAAAAAAAAACAATATTTTATTGTTTATAATTTTGTACAGTATGATAAGTTTTGTAACACTCCCCAATATGCATTGCAGGCTGATTAGTGCATGTTTGACAGTAATAAGTGGTTTGACGCCTGCCACCAGGTGTTTTCCTGTTAGAACACACAATGCAGTCCCGTTTTCTTTGTCCCACATCGGGAATATGTAGTTTATTGTTTAATCCGACACAAAACCCGCTGACATTTCTTGTATATATCTTAGTAATTTTACGATATTTTGATTTAATTTCTTGTGCCATTTCAAGATAAAACTTCAGGGAAACATGCATGTCTCAAAAAGTTGCGTTGAAATAACTCAATTCCCCGTAATCACTAATAAACTGCAATGTCCCCTGAGAGGGGACATCCGAGTGATATGCTAGAATTCCGATGTTCCCTGAGGGGACAGCGGAGTGCAAAGGGTTAAAAATATACAAGGACTGAAGGGAATCTTTTCCTAAGCCTAAACTTGAGCAACACAAGATTTTATTAGGCTCACCCACCCTTGTCAACCATTAACCAGAGGATGCTCAGAGCTGCTGGCTACAGTTTAGCTGAAGCCTGTGTTTTATACAGAAAACAGGTCTATAAATTTCCATGATATAGGTATGACTTAAACATATATATAAGTTTCTGCCTTTGAAATCAGGTATCAGATTGAACCAAAAAGAAGAAATCATTAATTTTGGTCTTCAAACCTTGACTAGAAATAGTTCATTTTTTACTTGAGGATTCTATCGGGTTAAGTATCTTCTGATTTTGCTCAGTTCTGTTTTTTTTTTTTTTAGAAATTGCTTGGCACACTGTAGGTATTCAGATATTTGAGTGAAAACTGTTGCTCCCAACCTCTTACAGGAGCAGAAAGTGAGCTGGATAGAGCAAAAGAAACAGCACCCACAAGCTGTTTCTCTACATGTGTTAGGGAGACAGTTCAACAATCCCTCTTCCACACCCAACCCTGCAAACCACCCCCAAAGAATAACACATAGTAACGATCAGCGTGTGTGTGTATGTGTGTGTGTACAAATACAAACAGGCTCTCCCAAATTTGGGGGTCCAGCTCTTTAAAAATAAAACAATTCCCTTAAAAGAACCCATTCCATTGAATAGAATAACCATGGCTTAAGTGATTATTAGTAATGAATGTAGAATATTCCTGCCCACCTGCAGCGGGGTACACAGATAAAACCTCAAGACTTTAGACAGGAAAGTCAGCCAAAAAGCATGCCAGAGTTCCAAAGCTGTAGTTCAACAGTAATCCAAACAGGACAGAAAAAGTAAGACATGTGTGTGTCACTTTTTAAAACTATTCACCTTTCATGTTTGCTTCTTTGTTACACAGAAAGTTAGGGGCACATAGCATTATAGCCTCAGCAAGGTCTCTTAACCATTTGGGGCCTCAATATCCTTAACTGTTAAATGAGGGTTGAGTATACCACTAATTTTTCCAATTGCGGTGTCCTACAATTTTATAATTTCAAAGTCATATACAGACAGTCCTCGGGTTACAACGGACTCGACATATGTCGTTTCATGGTTACATCGCCATCTCCCATTTGCAGGTATATATTTAAAGTTCCATCATTTCGATGTATGTACATATGTGCTTTATGTTTTTTATTATTTATTTACAAGTAAAGGTCAGGAATTATCTTTAAAAATTTTTTTATTGTTTCACTTCATTACTGCTGTGTATGTGCTCCATGTGAGTGACGTAGGTGCTTATGTAGGTGGGTTCCGACTTACGGGAAAATAGCGTTACGTGGCGCTGTAGGAACGGATCGCCGACGTAACCCGAGGACCTACTGTAAAGGCCTAAAAATCCATTTCAAGTTTGATGTCTCATCTGAATAGTTTTCAAACCTATTTTCTAGAATGGACTATAGCCAAGTGTGTGGCACATGGAGTTAAAAGATATGTACGTGTATGTGTAAGTTTGTATTGTTATAGTGGAGAGATGCAGAGAGAGAAAGATATACCAGTTATTCCAGGCTGACTGAAGGCCTAGGTTCACACCCGCCCCTCCCACTCACGGTTCTTCCTTGAGAGGTGTCATGTATCTTTGAGATGGTGGAAAATGCAAGGCCGATACAGCATCCTGTCCCTACGACACACTGGTCATCACCTTTTTTGGCACCATGTATAATACAAAACTAAACCCTTTTTTCTTACCTTCAACTTTAAAATAACCTATTTACCTGTATTTAACAGTGAGCAACTTGCAGTGTATACACCTTCTTGAGAACAGTGGAAGATCAAAGAATTTTTCTTATAACCTACAATCAGCTACTCAATCAAAATACAAAACAAAGCCTCGACTGCCTATGGAGGAAGACCGTGCCCGGGGTAACTGGAATAAGCTAGTGTAGAGTTCTAATTATCTGTTGACTCTCTTACATCTTGGGAAAACTTCAATATCCATGCCTGAAGCCTTATTAGCCTGAACATGTGGTAAGAACTGAAAGAAAATGTCAGAATGATTTCTTTCTGCTCTTACACAGCATTGTTTGGATATTATCTCAACCTGCGCTGGGAAGACCAGGGTACACTATGCCTAATCAAAACTGTCTAGCTGTCTGCCTTCACCTGTCAGTGTGGCTAGAAAGGAGGATGTATAACTCTGTCAAGTCTAAGTAAAACTAAGAACATGAGGGCTGCTGGGTTGGGATTTCTGCCAGCCAGCTGGTGCAGGCCTGGTTTTCTGGCTTCAGTGAAGAACCTAAATGAGATGGCAAGGAGCCTGTCCTACAGCAACCACCTTCATTTCACTATTGTTCTGGAATCTAATGCAACAAATTTCATTACAGATGCCAATTCTATTATTCCATTATCAGTTTAAGTTTTAGACCAGAATCATGATCCAGCATTTGCTTTTAGAAATTATCTGTAAGATCACAATAGGTGCTCTGTTCACCTCTGCTGACTCCTTACATATTTTACAGTCATGTTAGCCTCTGAAGGCCACAGGCTGTTGCCACTTCCTCTGTGAACAGAGATGCTGGTACCACCGACACCAAGGAAATCAGCGGGGCAGGTGTACAAACCAGGCATTTATGCACCAGGTACCAATTAAGGCCTTAACATTCCACTTGTATTTTCTTCCTGACCTGCAGAGGTGAGCAATCGTATCAAAATGCCATGGGAAACTGCTAACTACACACATTCTAGCTCTCTAAGAACACCTAGTTTAAACGAAATCTAGTGATTTGGGGATTTTTCACATTTTTAAGGGCAAAGCTAATGTAGGAATGGAGACAGACATAAACAGTGACATAGGAGGCTCACAAATACTTCTAGAACTGCTTCCATTTTCTTAAGATTACTGTCACCATTGTCCTGACAGTAAGAAATAGGAAGCAACAAAGTATTAATGTAATCCTCTTGATTTTTTTTATAGTTTTCTAATTAAATTATTTTGTGACTAGAAAAATCAATATATCATGGAAATCACAATACAGCTGGTAATTTTTGGAAAACTATATTGGGTTAGAAAATCACTTCTAAAGTAGTTATCTCAGACCAACCACCATTTAGGTATAGGAAGACCCAAAACAACTATCTTGAAATCTTGCCCCCTGCACTAAGGGCTACAAAACCTCTGCAAATAACACCATAGTGAGAAGCTCAACATCATCATGGGTAGGAGTAACCACCCCCAAACGAAACGAATGAGGTTTGCCTGGATAGGATCTCAAAGATGTAGCTAATTTTTTGATAAATAGTAGACAGTACCATGTTATCACCCTGTATTTTGTAAATATCTGGTTCCTATGAAATGTAAATATACTGCCACATATCACGTGCTACTCCAGGAAGCCAGCCTGCATTGTTTTCCTACCTTAGTGCAAAAGAATGTCCATAACAACTTCTTTAAAAGTTCAGCTTTAATGACAAACATTTCTTACATCAGTCTCTTCAAAATTAGATGTGAATAAACAATTTTAAACAGGAAGTGCCATGGTGCCTCTTTCATATACTGTATTCAACACACTGGGCCCCTGAGGATGCCCAGTGATATACACATTAAAGCAATAATGTAAGTCTGTAAGCCACTGCTCCTGAACACCTCCACTCTTCAATGTCTGCAGAGAAAAAAAAGAGTAATTTGAGAATTCTACTAAAATTGCTATGCTACCTGAAGTGCTTTTCACATCCAAACTTCTCAAGAGCCACTGCAACAGTATCCTGGTCTGTAAAATCACCACAGGAACTCTTACTGGAAAGGGGGACCTATTCATTAGGCATTATTAGGCGGTGAAAACCCTTCCGTATAAGTGATGTCGGTTTCTCATTTTGTTTGTTCCCTCCCACAGATGCTAGGGACTGATGAAATTTCATCACCCACCATCCCTACACTGGACTTCCTCCCTTTGGTATTCTGGAGTCCCTTGATCTTTGTCCAGGGCAGACAACAATTTCTGTCATTTCTTCCTTATGGAGGTGGGTTGACTGTCCAACCTTCTACTATTTCTGAATTACTATTACATATACTAATCAATAAACTCCCCCAACCAAATATCTATAACAACCTACCCCCCCCCCCCAAAAAAAAAACTCCCGAATTCTTCCCAACTAAAAACGCCAAAGGAATCTGGTAACAGAACTGCCCCCACCCCTTAAAAAACACACACACAACTGAACACAGACAACCAACCATTAGACAAAGCTGAAGCCTACAACTTCCTTTCTCCAACTTCTTACTCTCCACGGAACCAACTAGAAATTGGCCTGTAGTTTATTTCTGCTAAATAATTTCCTAATGACAGCTAACATTTGGTGAATTAATACATGTCAGCTACCTAAAAACTTTACTTGGCTACTCTCATTAATGGTCACCAAAACCCAACAAAATTACTATTAGTCCCACTTCTACACCTAGGAAAACAAGCTTGGCTAAGGTTTAAAAACAAACTTATCCAACGATCACAGTTAATCACCAATCTCTGTTAGATACAGGTAGTGATGACTCTGAGGCTGTACCTTTTCCAACTAAGCTGCCTGCACCTTTATTCAGTTTAAGTATTTTAAGGCTTTTATGGCCAATTTTGGGATTAAGGAAATCCCATAGGTTAAGTGACTAGACTACAGGAGAAACCTTGGGAAATCACCACTGGACTTGATTCCAGGAGTTTGGTCAATGCACAGGAACCCTGTGCACCCCCATGCCTTGCCCACGAATCCCTTCTAGTACTAACAATACGAAGCCTTTGTTCCATGCTCTCACCGTGATATTCTTGATGATCTGCTGCACCAAGATGGCATTGGTCAACATATGAGTCCTGAGGGGCGCGTGCTGCAGCAGCAGGCGAAGCAGCTGGCCCACAACAGGCAGCTCCTCGGGAGCAGCTCTGCTCACCCGCAGGCTCTGCAGCATCAACCTGAGGACTCGAGGCAGGAGAGCCAGGACGGAGACACAGACCCCCCACAGCTTGTCCCTACAAGAAGCAATAAAAATGAGTCAGTGAGCCAACACATTCAGAAGAGCTTAGACAAAGATCTTATATGCATGTATGCATTACCTATGGACATAGACAATAGGGTGGCGAGGGCCTGGGGTGGGGTGGGAACCGGGTGGAGGGGAGCTATGGGGAGAAAAAGGAGGGACATCTGTAATTATCTCAACAATAAAAATCGATTAATTAAAAAAAACCAAAACTTCCTGCAATGAATTTTAATAGGCATACCAATAAGGACATAGGCATAAAAACACTTTTTAAAAATTACAGTGAAATATTCCAAACTATCCTAGAAGCTTTAGTCCGAATTTCATATGGGAACAAAAGTACTGACTAATTAAAACACTAGTATTTTAGAACAATTTCCTTAAGTTCAAGAATTTAAAATTCCACTCTGGCTATTTCTAATGAAGCCCAGAGCAAAATACAAAGGCTTGTACTAGTAAACTCATCCTTCTAAAGATAGCAAGGTTAATAAAGAAAGCTCTCAAAACTTATGCTATCTAACTTTTCAAATCTCTTGCTTTAAAAGAAGAAATTCTGAAAATGAAAAATTTTCAAACCACAAAGGGGATTCATGAAAGGACAAAGAAAAAGCTCTGGTGATGGAAGGAGACTTGACTTGGGGTAATTCACACACAATACAATATACAGATGATGTATTGTAGAATCGTACACCTGAAATCTATATAATTTTATTAACCAATGTCACCTCAATAAATTCAATATTAAAAAAAAAAACTAGCTAGGTTTATACAAACTCTGAAAGAGCTTTTAGGGTATTTCTAAAATCCAATTCTCTTTCACTCGCAATTTTTTAAAATTGAATGATTGATGGGGAGAGTGGAACAGGTAAAAATGTAAATTGAAGAATAAAAAATTATTACCTCTTTCTTAGATGCTCTGCTTCTCCTTTCTCTAAAGTGAGCAGGAAATACAGAAGACTGTAGCAACACGAAGCCAGAAACGGCAGCAGAGTCTCACTAAGTACACATGTATGATCCAGGAGCCTACAGATAACACCCAAAACACAGCCAACGGTGCTGTCAGGAATTACAGTGAACCCAACCTAGGCAGAGGAAAATGAGATTAATGACGTCTACACAATAGCCCTTTCCCAGGATAAACCAAATCCTATTAAATGGAGGGTTAACCTTACAACACTTCTACTGAAAACGAGTATGTACATAATGCATGCCACCTGCCACACCTTAAGGTCCTATTTCCCTCTGAGAATTTAATCTCTACATTAAATATATTGAAAACATGCAAACTCGAGAAATATTAGTAACCCAATCCATTGCTTCCTCTCATGACAAAGTCTTCTAAAACTTTCCAGATATTACAATGTCTACTAATGGTTAGAAATGCCAGTATTCAAAAGGATTATTTCATGCATCCAAAGAAAATCTTGATACCAACAATCACACTTACCTGATCTTTAGGTTATCCAAACTGTAAAACACTAATATCTGGCACCAACCCCATCCCAGGTCATTAAATATACAAAACAATTCATTTTGCAATTACCCTTCCCCTGTCCTTTGATTTACCTAGTCATTCAGACATGACTAAGTAACGGAATCAAGAAACTACTACTTAACACTCAATAGCTACACTGCCCCAAACCCCAGGTAAAGATCATGGAATCCTAATTAATCTGGATTCTACTTATAAACTGTAAGGTGGGCTCTAACTTATACACACACACATATATATATACATGGTTTAAATCTCCTAGAAACTACCGTTGGATGATCATTTTAAAAAGTCTACAGGCTCTGAGGTCTTAACCTTTCCATCAAGCTGTCTGAAAATACTGGCCTAGACTGACTTGTATGTTGAGCTCTTACGAGGATAATGAATATAGTCAAAGGAGGGCATACATTTCTAGACCAGAGGTTTAAAAAACACAAGGTGGGGGATCTTTGGAGACAAAAGGGATAAGGATTAAAAGTTGATAACAGGCAGAAACAGTAAAGAAAATACAAAGCAGTATTCTTCCAACTCAAGGGAAATAACATTTTAAAGAAGGAAAGGTGTGGATGTGCCTATAAAATTATGCAAACAAAGTCTCTGGAAGATAAAATTTCAGATCTCTCTCTTGTACTATAATACATTCTTATAATAAAAAGCCGAAATTCAAAGTGTAAATGTTGGAGGAAATTAAAAGCAAAACCCAAGCATGCCTAATGTGAATTTAATACCAATGGGAACAAGAGACACTCATTGGCCAGAAGATAAGTCTCATGGCTTAGCTCACTGCCTCCAGTGACCAGGCCTTGAGCCAGTTAGGTGACTTCCCTATACTTAATGGTTCTCAACCTTCTGGCCCTTTAAATACAGTTCCTCATGTTGTGACCCAACCATAAAATTATTTTCGTTGCTACTTCATAACTGTAATGTTGCTACTGTTATGAATCGTAATGTAAATATCTGATATGCAGGATGGTCTTAGGCGACCCCTGTGAAAGGGTCGTTGGACCGCCAAAGGGGTCGCGACCCACAGGTTGAGAACCACTGCAACCAAGCATGTCAAACATGCAGCCCGTTGGCCACGAGTTTGATATGCTTGCTTTAGACCCCAAATGTTCTGGGTGGAAATTAGATCCCAGTCTGGATACTGGATTCTCAATACACTAACATCAGGCACATGTTAGAGCATTACAAGTCAAAAGGACCTCAGGCATAATTTTAAGGTCTTTTATTGCACAGATGTAGAAATAGAAAGTAAGGCCCTGGTATCAGGCAATTTTCCCAAGTTGAAAAATCAATTAGCAACAAAAGTCAGGAAAAACAGCAAGATTTCTCAGTTCTCGCCATAGCATCAGAGTGTGAGAGGTTACCGAGCTTAGGATTCCGGATTCTCACTCTCTCCTAGGCTATGATAAACCTAATCTTAATCAATGAATCTATATGCTTTTCTGTATAACAGAAAAAAAAGTTTAAAAGTATATTTACCAAATGCTTACTGATGGCACTTTGCACGATGTCAAAGCTCTGGCTTCGGGCAGGGATAACCAATAGACTGTGACAAACTGTCTGTCAGAAAAGAAGAAAACCAGTAACCAAATTAGGACATTTTAGGTCAGAAACAAGTTAAACCGATTTTTTTAACCTACTTGCTCCACATATTAATGGGAAACTTAACAAAAAATGACTCTGAAGATGTAAATGTCAAAGGTCAAACAAGCCTCATATATGGACTAATTTTCCAAATAATTCATTTTATTAAACATTTACTGAGTGCTGAGTTAGTCCTTTTAGGTGCCATGCACAAGAATGAAAGAATAAGAAACTTCTCTCTCACAGCCCTGAAGTAGCTTGTAATTTACCAAGATAGAGATATATTTCTGTTAAATGCTATAATAAAAAGAGAACTGAATGATTTCAACAAAAGACTGACAAAAGCCTTTTCTCCACTTGGTGGAAAAACGTCATACAAAAACACTTATGATCCAGATATTAATACCCCATTTAAATTAATTGTAACACTGCCTCCTATTCTCCAAAGGCAAAAGACAACAGTTGAAAGGAAAAGAAAAATATGAGGGGCTTGAGAAATAAGCAGAGGGAGGACAGCACTGAGTTCTGAGGCACTGTGACAGACCCCAAAAGCTGATGAGTGCGGTGCCAACAATGAAACATGTAGAAAAACCACAAGGAGAGACAGAGATGAGACTGGTGGAAAGAAAAACATCACTCCAGGAAGAGGATAATCTCACTACATTCAAGAGAACTGTCAATCACCCTTTAAAAACCAATAGTTCTATGCATTACTTCTCTCTAAAACCGCTAATAGATTGAGACCACTCAAGAGTTTTCAAGTGGCAATTTTTTATCTTTTATACCTGTAAGTAACAACATGAACAACACACTTCCAATGCCATCTTTCTACTTCAAAATGAGCACAGTGAGTATTTTCATTGTCAAAAGGTAAATCAGGTTGCAAAGGCCTATTCAATAGTAAATGGCAACTTAATCCCTTCTCTTCTGCCTCCCCTTTCCTTCTTGAACATTCAGTTCTAAAGCCACTGGGCGGGGTAACCATCAGCATGGAGTGGGTGGGAGAATTGCAGTGGCCCAGACAGAGCAGGCTATCCATGAATAAATAGAGGCAGACTGTCAATTCTTCTCACTTTTTAAAATCCAATATTTTTGGAGAACCTACATATAAACACAGTACCAGACACTAGGGTAATAAAGAGAAGAGACATATCATTGGCATGTCCAAAGTATTGTGATCAGAATCAAAACCATGAGAGATATCCCTTCATATATCTACAAAAAGTATAGCCATAAGATATGGGGAGGACATGAAGAGTATTCAGATCATAATGAAAGAAGTACACAGATCAGCTGAATAAAATCAATTGGTACATAAAACAGAAGTAAATTATTGAACATTAACAAAGAGATTAAAAAAATAGACTTGTCCTGGCAATGAGGAGTTATTAGAAAAGAATATAGTCAGTGTCCTGGTCAGAGACCTTCTTAATCATTCAAGTAAAATGAACCAGGCCTCAGAAGTTGCATGAAAGGTTGAAACCAAAATCATTTGGGGATGACATAATTGCATTCATACTTGCATTCAAGTATCTTTTAATACAAGGAAAGAAAATAAATAAAAGAAACTAGTTGATATAGAAATGTTTTAGAGAATCAAATCCTTAGTATTAATGTTTATGTTGTTTTAGTTTAATTTACGTATTTGTTACATGCAAGACAATTTTGCCTATTAGGGTAAAAGATCAGCTTTATAATTCCAATTTAATCCATGTCAGTAATTAATTTAAACTAATCATTTTAATACGAATTTTACTATCAATAGTGAAACCTAAGGTATTAAGATTTATCACATTTAAATTCAGATATTTAAGATTTACTTTAACATGTGTGAGAAGGTTTGTCAGAAAACTGAACTACTTGACAAATAGTGACTGTACTAATAGTTATTTAAACAGTTTAAAATTTTAACTGTTTTAAAAGAAAGAAAATATAATCAAAGTCCCCTTTTAAAATAAATGCTTAAGTTGACTACATTTTTCTAAAGAGTAAGATTTGTAAGTTGAACTTTGAGGAAGAATTAGGGTTTAAAATTTAACTTTAATAAAGTATAGATTAACTTAAAACCAAAGGAACTGCTCAATTTTTGTTGTTTAAAAAAAGCCACCTTCAAGGACACCAAATCCTACATAAGTCTTACTCATCCTTCAATACTTAAGTTAAATTCTTCCTTTTCTATGAAGCCTTTCCTCTTTTTCATAGATGTACCTATCCTATCTGTCCTGTGCTAGGTAAAAGGAAATAAATCAGTATTATTCAAATAGCTAATTTATTTTATTTTATTCTAGTGGCATAACCCATAATGAAAAAACACTCCTGGCCAAGATCATAAACGCTTTCAGAACATGGATCATGTCTCATACTACTTTGTATCTCTACGAATATCTCATACAAGGCAATCCTAATATACTAGTACACTACTGAATTTTAATAGCTAGAAATTTCTTTATAAATGCACTATTACCTCTGTTACATCCCAATGGTGTAAAAATTGCTCCAAGTCTGTAAGATAAAGCAGCACAGGGGAGAGCTGTGTCTGGATGACATGAGGAACTCCTCGAAGGCTCTGAAGCCAAGTCAACTCCTCTTTTGAAAACCCTAATTTGGGTACAAAGAAAGTCAAATTAAAAAAATTCACAAAGCAAGGGACATGGGTCATATTTTTAAAAAAACAGATACATGACATGTATCTTTAAGACAAAGTCTTCTTTAAGCTACCTTGTTGCCTCCAAATTTCTGCATTTCATATAATATTTTAAAAGATGAACAGCTGGCCCTAACTGGTTTGGCTCAGTGGATAGAGCGTCGGCCTGCGGACTGAAGGGTCCCTGGTTCGATTCCGGTCAAGGGCATGTACCTTGGTTGTGGGCACATCCCCAGTTGGGGGTGTGCAGGAGGCAGCTGATCGATGTTTCTCTCTCATCGATGTTTCTAACTCTCTATCCTTCTCCCTTCCTCTCTGTAAAAAAAATCAATAAAATTTTTTTTTTAAAAAAAAAGATGAACAACTGGTAATGGAGGCAGTAAAATTCATATAATTATGTACACAAATGTGTACTCTGACCCAATCTATAATGTAGCAAGAAATAGGCTTTCCCCCTTATATAAAGGGCTTCATGACATTTACCTAAAAAAAGTAAAAGGCAACCTTTCCAAATAATGGTAGGTTTAAAAAAGCAAATGAATAAAAGAATATATTCCATACATATACCAAACTCTGTATTCTCTTGTAATAGTCCATTCAAACTACTGTCTGATTCTCTTACCACCCCTATTACACTTGGCCTGACCTATCCAAAAATCCCTCCCTAGAAGAGAGCTCTCACAATGATCAGAATACCAACAATGTAGTCAGTCTGATCCTAGCTTTCTGCTTTGATGCTCCTATCACTATATTTTCATGAACACAGCCCAAAGCAGCAGCATCTGGTTTCATAACTACATCCCATTACTGGCTCATAATGAGCTTTCAAATACCATTAAACCTTTTGGCAGGTACTACTCCTAAAACAAAGACCCCACCTCCATCTCAAATGTGTACATCCAAACTATCAAGTAAACATGTAGAAGTCTACATTTATCTTTTATATAAAACTAGAGGCCTAGTGCACAAAATTCATGCACGGGGGAGTGGGGGGTCTCACCCCGGATTGCAAGAGGGCACAGGCCAGGCCGAGGGACCCCACCATTGCATAATCAGGGCCGGGGAGAGATGCGGGAGATTGGCCAGCCTGGGAGGGACTGCGGGAAGGCTCCAAGGCACGTCCAGCCCATCTCACTCAGTCCCGATCGGCTGGACCTCAGCAGCAAGCTAACCTACCAGTCAGAGCATCTACCCCCTGGTGGTCAGTGCACATCAGAGCAAGCAGTTGAGCGGCCTTAGCATATCATTAGCATATTATGGTTTGATTGGTTGAACAGACAATCAGACATAGCATATTAGGCTTTTATTATATAGGATTTATAGTTTTTATTATAAAGGATTTATCTTGCAAGATTCAGCTCATTTCCAGAACCTATCAACTTCTCTTTGGATTCTGATAACATTAATTATATGTCTCCTAATCACAAGTCTTCAAAAAAATTCAAAGAATCTCATCATCACCCAAGTATAAAACTGAAATGCTGAACGAGTACAATCATTTAAACAATAGTAACACTCACACATCTAACTTATGACATTTCCATATTCATTTTAACAATTTTACTTTGAAGGCAAATGGAATGTAGAAAACGGCTAATCAAAATCTGATGTTCTTCCTATCAAGTTGAACATTTTGAACATGTTTAAAATAGATAGTCTGTTCATCAATTTTTAAAAGTATGCAATGGGGTTTTCTCTGGCTATCTGAATAAGAGTCATGTATGTCCAATTCACTGCAAAGATAAGAATAATGTTGAAAAAATAAAGTTGAGAAATAAGACTAAGAAGAAAGTGAAAAAACAATCATGACATTCAAGTACTTCCCAAGATTTTGGTACTTGTAGTATGAGATGCAAAGATGAATCATGCATCTTCCTGCCTCAAGAACCTGACAATGTAGGGTACAAATATTCCTTCAAAGATTTCCATTTATTAATCAATAAAATTCATTCTAAGAGACATCTTATTTATCATCCTCAAAACTTAGAACCAAACATATTCTAAACAGTAAATTTTTGAATGATCTTCATACTAGATATTTTTCTTTCCTTTACTTGGTAGGTGAATGTAGTTACCTGTAAGTGTTGAAAATAAGAAGCTGAAATAATCCACATCACTCATCAAACAGTCTTTAACTGAATATTTCCATCCAGAAAATGATGATCTACAATAAAAAATGAAAGAAATATTACCAGAAGTGACCAACTTGAAGACTCAAGAATAACACAGAATATAACCATTTTTTTCTTTTTAAAAACAAGTCTGATTTAATAGCTTAAACAAAACCTAGAGCATGTATTAATTTTATATATAAGAGCTCAACTACCATGATATGGAAATTTCAACTTTTAACATTTATATTTATGTAAAGTCCCATTAAAAAGCATAATTGGCCCACAGAGTATATGGTATAACTTAGAAAATTTCTACACATTTGAAAACCATACTCTAAGGAGCCAAGATTAAGTTGTGTTTTTTTTTCAGTAGTTTCAACTGCTATGTATTTACTACCTGATTTTTATAAAGTCTCACCTTGCTTACTTTAAACTAGCTCCAGATTCCTACCTAAGCCCAAGTATCTTAATTAGGCGAAGAATACTTAAATTTAAAGCCACTCAAAGATAACTAACTATAAGCTCCCATACTTTTCAAAGCTGAAACTAGGTCTGCTTAATAGTGTAGCAAAGTATTGGAAGAGGACTCAAGGGAATATCTAAATGTAAAGCAGCTTCTCGTTAAATGAGGATGATCTGGTTCCTACTATGAGTTCAGTTTCCAGTGACTCCTTTAAAAATTCTCTTCAAGGTAAGGATAAGAAGACAGCAAATGTCAACCAGGAATCTAGCAAAAGGCTGAGAATAGTCAGATCCAATAAGCTAAGACTACAAATTTTATCATAGATATCTGAATAAATGTCAGACAAAATTAGGATTTTCTAACTCAACTAGAAGCACTTAATTTTTTTTTACTGTTAACTGTATTTAACTCAGTGAAACTAGGAATCAATTGTGCCATCCAGTGGCTAAAAGGAGTACACATCCATTTAGGAATCTACTTTGGACAAATGACAATAGATCACACTGTCCTTAAGACTATGATGTCCATATATACTGTTCAAGCCAGAACATGTCTGAGAGTAAAGGGATGCTATTGCTGATTAAGCTGGAAGAAAAGAAATAAACTGGAACTGCTCCTCCAAGACCAGATCATATATTCACTCTACTTAAGCCAAATTTCTTAGTCCAAGAATCTCTCCTTTCTCTGAGATTTTTATCTAACATTTATGTTCCCCAATCCAGCTGCAAATAAACTAGGGGCAGAGAGGATCTGATTGAGCAAAGTCCAGTGGAACAACATGGTATAACAGTATGAGGGAAAAGTCAAACTCAAAAAAACTCTAAATGTGTGGGGGGAAAAGGTAGGGGCAGCAACTCTAAGGTAACAGATAAATATCAGAAATGATTCAAGGAATATTTCAGGAAAATCCGTCTGGCAACAGTGTACAAAATAAAGGGATTGAGAAGCAAGACTATAATACTACAGGTAACAGATCATGAAAAAGTTGGCTAGTTATAGCCACGGTCAAGGACAGAGGGGGTGTTTTGAAGAAAAAAACAAAGATATGAAATCACCCCCAGTGTACGCTAAAAGAAACTAAGCATTATTGTTATTCTAAATCTAGGAAAAGTGATACATTGATAGTGGTATTGGCCTAAAAAATTTTTAAAGTCTTAATTTTGGATTATTTTTTAAAAGATTCATTTGGGCACAATACACCTACAGAAAGAGAAGTGTACTAACAAATTGTGCAAATACTAAAAGGGAAACTTTAATTTGGTGACTTCTAACGACAATCAACTTTTAATTTAGTTATTATTAAGCCCTTTTATCATTATCTGTAAATTAACATATTTTCAACAGTCACCACAAATCTCCACAAAAAGAAAGACTTTTGAAAACATTCTTGACAAAAGTTAAACATAATTGATGTTTATAAAAACAATATTCCTCCTAAAGAGAATAAATTTCAAAGGTAAGTGTTCAAAAGGTGGTTTTAACTGAATGTTAAAACAGACCCTTCATTAGTTATATCAAAGGAACAGAGTGCCCTCTACTGGAAGTCAATAAACACAAAATAAATAAAAATACACTTAATTACACTTAAATAAAAATACACTTGCCCTGACCAGTTTGGCTCAGTGGATAGAGCGTCGGCCTGCAGACTGAAGCGTCCCAGGTTCGATTCCGGTCAAGGGCATGTACCTTGGTTGCAGGCACATCCCCAATAGGAGGTGTGCAGGAGGCAGCTGATCAATGTTTCTCTCCCATCGATGATTCTACCTGACTATCCCTCTCCCTTCCTCTCTGTAAAAAATCAATAAAATATATTTTAAAAAAATACACTTATTTTTTTTAAAGGCCTAGCATTAAATAATTGCTTACACTAGGCTAAGAGTAGGATTTTTAAAATTTCTAACAAAAAAAAAAAAAACACAAGAAACTAATAAATGTTTAAAATACTTAAAAATAAGACCAAATCTCTCTCTAATGCAGATGTACACAGAAGAAATAAACCTTGAATATTCACATATAAACAACATGTTGCAAATAGCTCTCTTCTGCTAAAAGGAAACATTATCATCAGTTATGCAGCAAACTCTGGAGAACTGGATTCAAATATATGGCCTAAACTGGTATGAAAAGCCTGGCAAAGAAAGGTAGTCTACCAAACAGTGAGATACTCCTGTCCAACTGGGATAGGTGATCTGTACAAAAAGCCACAGGGAAACTAGTCTTTAAACTTTACAGCTATGGCCTAAATTTCAATTTCTTTCTGCCTAAAACCATATCAGACCCTGACCATGAGCCACAAGCAGAAATAAATATTTCTGAGTCCTAAAATACTATGCCTGATGATACCAACATGAGGCGGTTAAGGCTTCTTTGAACACATGCGATATGAAACATTAGTTATAAAACTTTCAGAGTAAAATGTTAATGCCACTGTGGAAAACAGCATGGCAGTTTCTTGAAAAATTAAGCAATTACCACATGATTCAGCAATACACTTCTGGGTATATAGCCAACAGAATTAAAAGGACTAAAACAGATATCTACACACCAATGTTTATAGCAGCATTATTCACAATAGCCAAAAGGTAGAAACAACCAATGTCCAACAACAGATGAAGAGATAAACAAAATGTAGTGTATAAGCACAAAGGAGTATCATTAAGCCTTAAAAAGGAAGGAAGCCAAAACCGGTTTGGCTCAGTGGATAGAGCGTCGGCCTGCGGACTGAAAGGTCCCAGGTTCGATTCCGGTCAAGGGCATGTACCTTGGTTGCGGGCACATCCCCAGTAGGGAGTGTGCAGGAGGCAGCTGCTCCATGTTTCTCTCTCATCGATGTTTCTAACTCTCTATCCCTCTCCCTTCCTCTCTGTGGAAAATCAATAAAATATATTTTAAAAAAAAAAAAAAAGGAAGGAAATTCTGACACATGCTACCACATGGATAAACCTTGAAGAGTTATGCTGAGTGAAATATGCAAGACACAAAAGGACAAATATTGTATGATTCCTTACATAAGGTAACCAGAATAATCAAAATCATCAAGATAGAATAGTGGTTACCAGTGGTGGGGAGAGGGCAGGGTGGAGGAGTTATATAATGGACACAGAGTTTTAGTTTAGGTTGATGAAAAAATCTGGAGACAGATAGTGGTCCTGGTTACACAACAATCTAAATCTATTTAATGCCACTGTTAAGTTGTTTGTCTTTTAATATATTTTTATTGATTTCAGAGAGGAAAGGAGAGGGAAAAATAGAAACATCAGTGATGAGAGAAAATCATTGACCGGCTGCCTCCTGCATGCCCCCTACTGGAGATCAAGCCCACAACCCAGGCATGTGCCCTGGAAATCGAGCTGTGACCTCCTGGTTCATAGGTCGACACTCAACCACTGAGTAACACCGGCTGAGTGCCACTGTAAACCCTTACTATATGGTTTTGATAATTTCAACCCTTATTCCAATCTAGCTATAGAAATCACTATACAACTTGAAACAGTCTTACTCTAATGAACTTTATCTAAAAATAACAATGTAGTTTTAATTGCTGCATTAAGAGCAAATGAAGGTAGTAGCAATGTTTAGAGGGAAAAGATTATACATTTAAAATAAAGCTCACTTGAGCATGTTACCTCATGTGCAGTATCCCGATAAGCATGGCAGCCAAACTTGAACTGAGTCTTCCCATAATACAGCAACGACTTAACTGAGAAAGCAAATCAGCAGGTAGACTAGGTAGAAAATATATAAGCTGGACCAAACACTGCTGAGACTCTGCTGGGAGAACCACCACAGTGCCTTCTTGTGGATCTAGTGGGACAGATGGACACATTAAATTCAACTATAAAGATGTACAAAGCAGAGATTAAATTAATAAAGAAGATTGATTATCTTTACTTATGCTGAATTCCAACATATCAATTACATGAAAAAGTTTCATCATAAAACATGATTGCTTAAGCTATTTTCTAAAGTAAAACATTGAACATAACCATTATTCATTTAAAGATACATTTGTTTAACACTGCAATAATTTCATAACATCCAAGTTTGTCTTGTTTGAATTAAGAACTTTCATGGGGGTAAAGGGACTGGATACAAAGCGAGAGTAAAAAACAAGCACTTTTGCTAAACAGTGACAATTACAGTATAAACCTAACCTAAAGCAAAAGACCTATTTGTGTGTGCATATACACGTGCACACATATACACACACACACTCCTACATATAAGCAGTACTGAAAACAGATTTTAAAATATACCCACAAAAGGTGGAAACCAAATGTCCTTCACTTAATGAATGGATAAATATAAGCGGTATACCCATTAAATGCAATACTACTTAGCAATAAAGAAATAAAATACTGAAATATGCTTCTTCAACATGAATGAATCCTAAAAACACTCTAAGAAGCCAGACTCAAAAGGCCCCATATTGCATAATTCCACTTATAAGAAATGCCCAGAACAGGAAAATCCAGAGACAGAAATACAGATTAGTGTTTGCCAGGAGCTGGGAAAAGCGAGAATGGGAAGGGTCTACCAATGGGTACTTTCTTTTGGAGGTGATAAAAATATTCTAGAATTAGATAGCGATGATGTTTGCGCAACCTTGGGAATATATTTTTTAAAAATTTCTGAACTGTACATTATAAAATGGCAAATTTTATGGTATGTGAATTACATCTCAAGAACAAATGTAAATTATATATGTATATATCCCAGAATGCTTTTAATTGATATTTTGCCTAAAATATGAAATAGTTCTAGGGATCAATAAGGCGTATTAACATATGAAGCCATACAAGATATCCATTATGATTAAATAAGAGATTTCCCACCAAAGCTTCAAAGGAATTTAAAATACTTGACAGTTTTAAATTTGTGAATAGCAGGTGGTTTAAAACAATTTAAGAATGCAAGAAGCACCTATAACCATTAACCTTCTAAAACTATTCTAATAAAGAATACTTAGTGTTAAAAATTAGCCCTAGCCGGCTTGGCTCAGTGGATAGAGCGTCAGCCTGCGGACTGAAGGGTCCCGGGTTCGATTCTGGCCAAGGGCACATGCCTGGGTTGCGGCTCCATCCCCAGTGGGGGGTGTTGCAGGAGGCAGCCCATCAATGATTCTCTCTCATCATTGATATTTCTATCTCTCTTTCCTTCTCTCTTCCTCTCTGAAATCAATAAAGAAATACATATATTTTTTAAAAAAGGAAAATTAATTTACTATGTGATGGTTAATTTTGTTTGGGTAATTTAATCATGGCACAAGTAACCTACAATAATTTAAAGGAAAGGCAAACCTAAAGAGCTTTCCTTAGAAACTTCTTTTCTAAATCACGATGTACCAATGATCACCTATACAGTTAAGCGAACTCTTACCATAGATTCGGAGAGCCGTAGCTTGTAAACTTTTTAGTAATTCTTTATTTGCTCGTGCTGCAGCAGTCTGGATGATATCAATAAGCTGTGTTGAGAGTTCAGGGTTTCGGGAGCCAAGATGAGCAAGTTGCAATGGTAAACCAGCCAGCCAACGGGATAACACTTTACTACGATATCTAAGAAAGGCCAAGGAAGAACAAAATAAAGTATAATTTGAAAGAAAAGGAACATAAATTTAAACCAAAAAAAATTTCAATTTAAATACACCATAAAGTGACAAGTCATCTACAATAATACATTCACTCATTTAAACATTTGAGAGCCTATGAGATCACCAGCATCATTTACTTAGTGGCAGCATTTTCTAGGTTTTACCCACTAGGTTTGGAGCACTAAATTATCGACCCATGAACCAAGAGGCCATTAGTTTGATTCCTGGTCTGGGCTCATGCTTGGGTTGTGGGCTCAATCTTCAGTGGGGGGGAGGGGGGGGTGCGGGAGAGAGACGATCAATGACTCTCTTTTGATGCTTCTATCCCTCTCACCCTCTCCCTTCCTCTCTCTGAAATCAATAAAAACATTAACATGTAACTATTTATCCTAAGTAGTGTTAATTATTGCACTATATTAACTTACTGATTCAATGTAGGGTGCCCCTGCACTAAATGGCTTTGAACTTGTGTTACTTCAGTTCTTTAGTATACTTGCTGAAGCTCTAATGCAGTGGTTCTCAACCTTCTGGCCCTTTACTTCATATCTGTAATGTTGCTACTGTTATGAATCGTAATGTAAATATCTGATATGCAAGATGGTCTTAGGCGACCCCTGTGAAAGGGTATTTCGACCGCCAAAGGGGTCGCGACCCACAGGTTGAGAACCGCTGCTCTAATGTCTCTATTAATCAGGTAACAGCAATCACTTTTGCTGACTCCAAAAAACTTAGTGATTTAAGCATGACTTCTGATATCACAGACCTGAATTTAAAATCTCAGCTACCTCTATTACCCATTAGTTGACTGACAACCACCCATTTATTTAACCTAAGCTTGTTTCTTTCTGTAAAATGAGAGGAACAGTATCTACCCTTCATAGTAGTACTATGAGAATTATTCAGAAAAATTATGGAAAGTGTTTGGCTTATAGTAAAGACTCAAATATATTCTAACAACTCCCAACACTTAACTAGGTATCCCAAATCTCTACCTTCCAGCCAACATCTCTTCCAGGCTGTCCCAAATAAACATCAAATTCACCATATCAAGAAATTAATTCCTTAGTTCCACCCTTCTATTGTCTATCTCAACTGATAGCACCAAACTAAGCCAGAAACTCATCTCTATTGCCCTCATTCTTTTCTTTTTACATTTTTATTGATTTCAGAGAGAAAGAGAGGGAGAGAGATAGAAACATCAATGATGAGAGAGAATCATTGACTGGCTGCCTCCTGCACGTCCCACACTGGGGATCGAGCCCACAACCCAGGCATGTGCCCTGACCGGGTAATCGAACTATGACCTCCTGGTTCATAGGTTGATGCTCAATCAACTGAGCCATGCTGACCAGGGCTTAATCTCCATAATTTTTATGAGAAGCAAAGAAAGGCTGAGGCTGCTGTAGGTTGTTCCAACTTTCCTTTACTTACAAGCAGACATACTCAAAGAGGCTTTTATCTGCTCAGTTATGTGTATAAAGATTACTGGCACTATTCTATATGCTTCTTCATAAAATGATATATCATTTCTTAAACATAACCATCTAGAATTTAAGCACCCTATCATCTTATTTAAATAAACTACAAAATAACTCAGTGTAAAAAAGAAAGGCAAAGTAAATGAAACTTTACCTGAATCTGTAAGATCTCAGTTCTTCCTTTTGATAGATTTTACTGAAAAACTTCAGTAACAAAGTGCGAACTGGAAGGATAAGGCCTCTCTGCTGATACAATGTATAAACTGCCTTGATGAGAGACTCTGTAGCCTCTAAAAACATAGAAAAAAACAACTACTTATGAATCAAAAATATTTGGTCATCAGCCCCCAAATTCCTTTAAAAGCACAGAGGATAGTTTTCTTTATTCCTATAACAAAGCAGATCTTAGCCACAAACTGATGACTACCATTGAAGTCCTATAGCAATGGCCTAATATAAAAGTCAAACCTACCAGAAATTACAGTGTAAACTTTCCTAAGGGAAACAAACCTAAGTAGAGATAACAAAAGCAGGATATTAGAAAGGTGACTAAGATGAAAACCAAATGGGAAAGCTTTTTGAATGAGAAAATTAGTAAGTCACACTAAAAACTGACAAAGTGATGTAACTTCAAGCTGGAAGAAATGTAGAGAAAGGCAGGATTCATTCTATAAGAAAAAAAGGAAAAAGCTCTCAAATTCTAATCCAACTACATCAGAAGAGAGTATTTCTTCATTAGGCTCGATGGCATTTCCTCTTAATAATATCTACCTCCTTTTACACCAATTCTGTAATCTATTAGAAATAGTATCAATTTGCTTAAGGAAGGGACCTAACCATTAAGAAAGGGATGCCCTGGGCCATAAACAATTTCAGTATTTAAGTAGATAATCCTTTGCCAGCTACCTTTTATAGCTTGAATGCAATTAACTTGACTACATGGAATGTTTAAAAGTTATCAATTCAAATAGCATGCATAAGAGCTCCTCTCACATAAAGATAAAGCAGCATAACCTACCTCTGTTTGGTTGTATCTGCATTAACCTCCAGGATACCCCAAGCAACCTGTTCAGCTGCTTACTATTTAGCCTAGAGCCATCTTCAAGTGTCTCCGTCACAAATTTTCTTATCATTTCTATCCAATAGGAATCCTTCTGCAAAGTTGAGGCATTTGCCAGAGAGACCATGATATCAGATAGTGTTAAGTTCAGTAAGAGATGGTCTACATTATTGGAGAGAATCGTGCAATGCTTGATGCTAAAAACAAAGACACATCAATTAAGTTTGGTGTCTACCATGCCTACACTTCACTTACAATCCTTAAATAATCTATCAATGAGTCAAAGAAAACTATTTTTTCCCAATATCACTCTTTCTTCAGGCTACTGTTACTGATAACATATTAATATTAGTTTCATTACCAGTTTCCTCATGTATAAATGAGAGTACATGACCTTTAAAATACTCTCTTGCTTAGAGATAATTACATAGTGTCTCCCCCAAATAAAGCATCCACCTCAGCAAATTTTATTAAATTCATAGTTATATCATTTTCTATTTGACCCCAGATAGCACAAAACATTCAGATTTAAAAAATAAAAAACTTGAAGTTCATAGACTTAAAGTGACTTATTCAGGATCAGCCGAACTACTGCTTTTATTTCTCTCTCTCTCTCTCTCTCTCTCTCTCTCTCTCTCTCTCTCTCTCTCTCTCACACACACACACACACACACACACACACACACACACACACAAATATATATATATAGGGCTAATATGCAAAGTGCCCCCTCAGGAGTTTGACCGGGAGTTCGATCGCTTGCTATGACATGCGCTGACCACCAGGGGGCGGTGCAGAAAGGCCACCACCACCCACCCCCACCCCCCCATTGCCCTGATTGCCGGCCAGGCCTAGGGACCCTACCCGTGCACCAGGCCTCTAGTTTAGATATAAACACCTCACAATGTAGAAAGTTCAAGTTTAAGGCTAATTATTTTCTCATCATTTCAGGTGAAGCAACTGTTAAAGTCTGTACAGTGGTAAAGAATCACAATACCTTTTATTTGTTTCTTTCTTTCTGTGCTTGGTTATTTCTTTTAAGGCATATGGAAAATGACTCATAAAATGGTGTTTGAAATCTGTAAGATAATTCTTTCGAAGCCAAGACTCCTATTAAAATGAGCAAAGATTAGAAAACCTACTAAAAACAGTAATTATAAATAACCAATAAAACTGTAAACAGAAATTTGACAACCTGTCAATATTCAACTATAAATTAACCATTAAAATACACCTTCTGGCCCAGCTGGTGTGGCTCAGTGTTGAGTATCGACCTATAAACCAGGAGGTTATGGTTTGATTCCTGGTCAGGGCACCATGCCCAGCTTGTGGGTTCAATCTCTAGTAGGGGGCTTGCAGGAGGCAGCCAATCAATGATACTCTCATCTTTGATGTTTCTTTCTTCTCTCTCTCTCTCTCTCTCTCTTCCTCTCTGAAATCAATACAAACTTAGTTTTTAAAAATACAGCTTCTGTTCATGATATATGTAAATAAATTTAAAAATCAGAATAAACTGTTAGAGCATCCAGTTTTCACCCACAGATCTTTAGGTGCTTAATAATTATTTTTACTTGAATTTTATCTACTGTTTAAGAGGAGAAGGGAAAGAATAAAGATTGAAGAAAACCCTGAACTTAAACCACTAATGCAATATTTATAAAATACACAACAGTCTTCTACCTAGTGTTTTATTTATAACACTATTTCCCATCAATTTCATTATTTCCCATTAAAGGTAGTCAACACTAATTCTTCAGCAGTATTTGTGAATGTACCATTCATTCTCTCCTACCTGAAACACTGTCTTATTCCAGATTACAACACTTTTTCCCTCCTACCCAGAGGACCAACCCTTCCGTTTTGCCAGACTGAGGGGTTTCTTGGGATGTGGGACTTGAGGTGCTAAAATAGCTGGTCACCATATAGCTCCTTAGTGTCCTTCACTGGATTCTTCTCTTTTTCCTGACCTATAAATGTAGTCCCAACATCTCCTCTTGGACTTCTAATAGGCATCTTAAATTTAACATGAATAAACTGAACTCTTTGCCCGTTCCCCAGCGGCCACACTATCATTTGGCTACGCATCATCCTTGCTCCTCTTTTCGTTCTGCTGGCTTTACCAGAACCTAGCTGCTTCTCATCATTTCAACCACTAGATACCATTCTACTCCAAGCCACTTTATCTCCCACCTAGTTTACAATAGCCTCCTAACTGCTCTCCCTGCTTTTCCTGTTGCCCCACGTGTTAGTTCTCCACAAAGCAGCCAGGGTGACCTTATAAAACATAAAAATTCAGACTGTGTCACTCCCTTACTCAAAACCCTCCAATGTCTTTTCACCACCCTCAGGTTAAAATCCAAACTCCTCACCATGGACCGCATGGTCTCACGTGATCTGGCCACTGTCACTATTTCTCCCTCATCTTCTACCATTCTCCCAGTACCTTACGTACACAGCCCTTCCTCCCATTCCTCGTCAACTTGTTCTCACTTCAGGCCTTTGCCCTTGCTGTTCCGTATGCTTAGAAGGCTCTTCCCATAGGTCTTCACCAGACTTGTTCCTTCACTTCATTCAGTGGCACTTCCTGACTCCCGATTTTAAACAGCCTCCCCCCACTCTGTTCCAGCACCTATTCGCTCCCCTGCTTTACTTTCTTTTCCTAGTACTGCCATCATGTATTTGTTTACCATCTATCAACCCAACCAGAAGGGAAGTACTGTGGAGGCAAGCACTTTGTCAGTCATGTTTATCTCTGTACTCCCAGAGCCTAGCACCTAGCTCACTGTAGAGCAGTGCTGTTCAACAGACCTTTCTGCAATGATGGAACTATTCCTCATGTGTTGCCCAAAATAGTAGCCACTAGCCACATGTAACTACTGAACACTTGAAATATAGACAGTGTGACTGAGGGCCTGAATTTTAACTAATTTAAACAGCCACATTTATAGATACTCAATAAATCTCTGATAAATTATTACACCTGACTGTTCCTCACAAATTCTAACCCTTGTGGGAAAAAGACTATAATAGCAATGAGACCTAGAGACAAAAAGTAGCAAGCATTAAAATACAAAATTAAGACACAATGAAATTTCTATAGTGTGTAATTATAATACTGACTCTGAGACTTGGAATTCACTTAGGTTAATTTCACTCACACTACACCTGCAAGTACAGCTTACCTACAATAAAGGTAACGTTTAGAGATGTTTTCTGACCTTACATCCTTTATCAAGATAAAATAGTATACACTCAGCAAGTTCATGTGTAGCTTCTTCTCTAAAACATAAGTAGTACAAAAATAACTCAGGGATGGTTAGAAGATCTTTAGTGTGATCCATTTCTACTAAACTAACTTGGCAATGTGGCACAAACCAGAAAAGACTACTTAATCAGCAATTTTTTATCCCTAGAAGTGGCCACCAGGTACTAGAATGTTCCTACATAATCAATCTGCCATAAGCAATAAATTGTAACCCCACTGTGAATTATAACTAATGAAAATAAGTATAATAAAACATGCATTTCACTTAAAAAAATTTTAATATTCAGGTAACTCTCTCACAAAGCTCTATTAATTTGTTGTTTGGAGCAAAAGTAAGAAAAGAGATTACAATTAAACCCTAAGAATTTTTTGGAAAATGTGTAATTCCCCTTGCCAGGTGGTTCGGTTGGTTGGAGCATCACCAACCCCGTACACCAAAAGGTTTCAGGTTCAGTTCCCTATCAGGGTGCGTATGTTAGGCATCCGATGTTTTTCTCTTTCTCTCTCCCTCCCCCCTCCTCTCTAAAATCAATAAACATATCCTCAGGCAAGGATTTAAAAAGAAAAGAAAATGCATAACCAATCAGTGGTAATACGCTAGTATCTAATCTGCCCATTTATGATAAAAGGTATTACTAAGGAAACAAAGAACCCGTTAGTTCTCACCAATTTGTGGTTTTCATCATGTTGCTTAGAAAGTTTCCACAGAAGGGAAATAATATTAAGAACTTGCTGCATAACCTGCAGTGGTTCTCGTTCTACACCATTTCCAACCGAAGTAGCTAGCTGTGGAGGAACAGCTTCAATCCAGCACTCGATCAGCAGTGGAATTATTATCTCAATAAATCCTTTCAAGTTTTCAGTAGATGACAAGCCTTCATCCACACTGCCTAGTCCTCCAATCAGGTTCCTAATAAAGAAGGATAAGAATAAAAAATATTTAATGATTAAAAATTATTCCTTGCTTAATGTAAATCTTAAATATAAAGTACCAGTAAAATAAAGAACCATGATATTGATCAATTATATTGATCAAGACTAGTAAGAAAAATAAAATTCTAAGATGACAAAGCCAAGAGGCTATCAAGCTTTACTTCTCATTAGGCTTTGCTAAAAATGAATAAATTAATACTTTCAAATGACGCCTCCCATGAGTAAATAAAACCAAATCATGAATAACTATTATGAAAACTATGAAAGACAATTGCATGTCTTCCCACCATTAGCCATCAATTGTCAGCAGTTATAATTCAATATAGGAAAACTGAGTGTGGACATAACTGAAATCCTTACCGTAGCCTGAACTGTGAACTGACATTTGGCTGTGAACCCCCATTTTCATAAACCTGGATGTGTTGCTGGTCGTTGGCATGTTCCTTCCAGTTGATAAAAATGGAGTTGCTAGTGGCATGGGGATTTTCTTTTTGTTCCTGAAGTCCTTCACTTTCTCTCAACCTACTGGATCCATCTGCCAAGGCCTGAAGGAATTTACTGAGTCTCACTAAGACTTTCAGCCTCCACTGCTGAGAAGTGAGTCTCCGATTAGGGTTTACAGAAAGTATCCAGGACTGGGATCTGTCTCTATTTACCAATCCTTTGGACAGCTGCTGATGAGAAATAAGTTCTACAAAATTCTTAAGCAATATACTGCTACGGCCAGTAATGAGAGCTGGGTACTCTTCCAGCAGAATGTCCAAAACTTTTAAAGAGTCCTCCTGAATTCCTTCAGTAATGTGAGTCATGGCACTAGAGAGATGGGCACTTACCAAAGGAAAAAATGGAGAAATTTGTTCAGCTCGTATTTTGGGGGCCAGGAATTGAAGAAGTTGAACTGCTGCTAATCGTACATTAGCATCTTTATCTGTAAACACAGCAGTAACTTCACTTAATATGTTTGAAAGGTGTGCATCAATTATAAATGGGTACTGAGATAAAAGGTCTTTAAGTCCAAGAAGAGCACTTTGTTTAACCCCAGCATTATAGTGAGGTTTTAGGTATACATACACACACACACACACACACACACACACACACACACACACACACACATATATATGCATTATATTATTTTCAAATAAACATGCTATCTAAAAATATACTGATAAACTGACACTTCCTGGGGAAACTGCCTCAGTAAGTATTTCTAAATAACACTTAGCTTTTATTAAGATCAGAAACACAGTTTTATCTTTAAACTAGTTCTAGCCTAATAAAAATATTACATAATTTTGGGTTAGAATTTTCTTTTTGAAAATAACCTGCATGCACTTAGGCACACTATCATCACCACCATTTAAAGACCTACTATGTACTGAACTTATGCTGGGTGCATTCTCATACTCTTAATTTAACAGGCCCTTTCTATTTTAAGTGGTTTTTCAGAGTGTATATGTATTTTATTCATATTATAACATCTGAAAATTTTCTCTATGGAATAATTTACATAATCTGTGAAAAAACATGACTTTGAATACCTTTTTGATATTATTTAACCTTTGGAGCTTAAAAGCAAAACTAGAAAACACATATCATCTCAAAGACTTGTTCACAAATATTCATAAAAGCATTATTCGTAACAGTCAAAAAGTGGGATCAAATGTCTATCAACGTTAGGAAAATGTAATATAACCATGCACTGGGATATTATTTGACAACACAAAAGAATTAAGTACTGCTCTGATATGCTATAATAAGAATGAATCTCATAAATATGCTAAATAAAAGACCAATTACAAAAGACCTGGTATTGTATGATTCCATTTCTTTAAAATGCCCAGAAGAAGCAAATCTATGCAAATAGAAAGTGGATAGGTGGCTGCCTAGGGCTAGAGGGAAGTAACAGGAATGACTTTATAAGAGTATGTATAGCATTTCTTTCTGAAGTGATAAAAAATGTTTTAAAATTAGATTATCGTTGAGAGCATAATTGTATTATTTTTAAAACCACTGAATTGTCATCCTGGCTGGTTTGGCTCAGTGGATAGAGTGCTAGCCTGCGGACTGAAGGGTCCAGAGTTCGATTCCAGTCAAAGGTGCATGCCCAGGTTGCGGGCTCAATCTCCAGTGGGGGACGTGCAGGAGGCAGCTGATCAATGATTCTCTCTCATCATTGATGTTTCCATCTCTCTCTCCCTCTCCCTTCCTCTCTGAAATCAATAAAAAAATATATATATAAAAAACAACAACACTGAATTGTCATTGTAAATGGGTGAATTTTATTATGTATAAATTACATTTCAATAAAGCTATTAAATTTTTAAGTAAAACTATTGCTCAAACTTCAATTAACTTCACACATTTATTATGAACCTATAAGCTGTGTTATAAGTGTTCAAAAAATGAGCAAGACAGATGCTTATCTCAATGTGCTATAAAAAATAGCTTGGAGAATAAAACCGCTTGAAAACCAAAACATCAAAAACTTGACATATCAAGAAAAAAACACAAGGTATTTCCAGATGACATAATAAATCATCAACTAAGTATACAAGGGAGAAATCGATCACTGCGGATTTAGTTGAGCAAGTCTTTCTGGGGGAGGTGGGAAAACTGCAGTGGCAATATCAGACCAGGGTAACAGATGAACTCCAAACTTCAGCCATCAATAAGCCCTAAGAGTTAAAACAACTTCTCACAAAAACATAACTTTCTAGGTGATTTCAAAAAAAAATCTAATTTTATGAAAATAATATTTATGATTTACCTTTATGTTAAGTTTTCTATTGTTTGTTGGAAGTATTCCATCCTCTTTGAGTTGCTCAGGCAGATGTATAGTCTTCGTTTTAAAGTTTGTAACAGTAGCATTTTCTAACCTGGGCTTCTTTTTACCAACTTTTAGTTTTACTTTTTGAAAATCATCTTGACGTTTTCTTTTTTTGGTCATTCTTGAGTGCTATAATGAAAAGAATTAATTAAAAAATGATGGATAAAGACAAAATAAACTATGAAAGAACAAAGGTATTTTTCAACATTTACATTATCATTTATACAAAGGTAATCAAGAATCAAGACCAACAGTGAGTATACCAAAGGATCAAAATATTAAATGGAAAATACCTCTATGAAGTAGCAATAAAAAAAATTTTAATTTAGCCAGGAGACCTGTAAAGAGAAGCCATTAACAATAAGGCAACCGGCTTGCCCCTGATTTGTCAAGGTTTTTTTTAGCCATGGAACCTTCTGTAAAGCAATGTGCTAAATGGAAACTTTTTGAAATTTTCTATGGGGATGTGGAGGGTGAGGGCTGAGAGAGTGGGTTGGAAAGCAGCAGAGTTCCTAAGATATCTTGTATCTACTCTGAACCTTAGCAAAACAAAGCCAAGTTTGGAAACAAAAGTTATTATTTAATGAAGCCTGTAATGGGAAAAGTTTCATGAACCTAAGTTGGGTCCTTGAAAAATGGCTAAGATACAGGTATGTAGCAAGGAGAGTTAATGAGCATTTCATGAGCAAAGAAAATGGTATAGATCAGGAGTAGGGGATAAGCCTGATATAGGCAAAAAAATGAAGATACCAGCATTTTGAACCCCGGGGAAAGTTCATACTAGACATAAACAGAAAATAGTATCCAAAAAACAGGATGAAAAACAGTATAAAAGGAAATAAATAACAGAGGGATAAGGAACAAGCTCAATTAGGCCACTATTATAATAAATCAGACATGACCGTGTCATGCTGACTTCCCCCCCTTTACCATTCTTTCAACTTATATCCAAACCTTACCACTTACACACAAAATCTTTCATCTGTGCTTCCTACCCCCATTCCCCGGCACTTCTTCCACTCTTTAGCTCTAACCTAGACTGTTCAAGAGTTTTCCCACAGGTTTTCTTGCTTGTCTCTAGTGTCTACTCCCTAATCCATTTCTAAACACATGTGACCAAGGCTCAGGAGCTTTCAGGGGTTTCTGTACTCCCTTTACTGTGAACTCCTTAGCTGGACATAGCACCTCCTTCCCACCTTCTCTCGAGCTTTCTCTCCCTACAAGCTAACTTCTGTCTAAAAAATGTCTCCTGTACCTAGAACCAGCTCAGCCCTTCTTGAAGTCTTTTCTACACACTACAAAAATAATGAATTCTACCTCCCACTGTATACCTCACTGCAACTGTACCTCTGAAATAAATATCTTCTGTTCTATCATAATTATCCTATGCCTGGCTATATTTTTTAAGTTAATGCTACACATGAGTCCAAAAAAATTGAGTAAAATGAAGGTTTGCATTATTGGGAGATAATAAAATGGCTGGTGCAAGTCCAGCAGCTCAAGTTCCAGGAATCCAGAAGCCACTTGTCTATAAGCTATGGGCTAGGATTTGGCTATATAGGTTAAGGGCAGATTCTAGAGACAGAGTGATTAGGTTCTTACTAAGGCCACCACTTTCTGGCTGTAGTTAACCACTGTGCCTCAGTTTTTATCTACAATATAGGGATAGCAATAATATATATTTCATCATACAGTTGTTATGAGGTAAGATGAATGAGGAGGAAATGAGTTCATTATTTGTAAAACACTCAGAACTGTGCCTGGAACACTGGTCAACATATAAGCTATAAGCACAAATATGTATAATTTCTTAAAGTATCTGGACTAGTACCAAACACACTATTAGATGCATTACATACATTAGCATTCATTTCTCACAAAACCAATAAGAGGGAAGGTGGAACTAAACCCATTTTAAAGATGTGGCTCGGAAAGGTTTGTTAGTCCTTTATTAAGAACTTGAAGAGGGCCTGGCTGACGTGGCTGAGTGTCGGCCTATGAACCAGGAGGTCACGGTTCATTCCTGGTCAGGGTGCACACCCAGGCTGCAGGCTCGATCCCCAGTGTGGGGCGTGCAGGAGGCAGCCGGTCAGTGATGCTCTCTCATCATTAATGTTTCTATCTCTCTCTCCATCTCCCTTTCTCTCTGAAATCGATAAAAATATTTTTTTTAAAAAGTTGAAGAGGGATTCATACACAAGACAGTTCTGCATAACCAGCTTAATATTATATATATATATACATATATATATATACATATATATGTATATATATTAGAATGAAGGTGAAAATTGGAAAACTGAGTAGAAAAAGGGCTCACCTTATTTCACTTATCCCATCCCCAAGCTTTCATCCCAACCACACCTTTCTAGTCTAAAAAAAAACCCAAATGGGTCAAACTTTAAAAAAAAGTCCCTAATACTTACGTGGCCTCTATTAATACCAAAGAAAACGTTTTTCTTTAATTAAGCAAGTACACTTTGCGAGCGTTCCCTACAATTTATTAACTAGTATCAGAGATTAAAAAATAAACGGCACAAGACATTCAGAAAATTCGAATGAATTAACTAACCCTCCGAATCCTGTGCTATTTTAGACACTAAAAACCTAATGGATATCCAACAGCCTGCAGTCAAGTTTATGCCATATTGTCCCTCATTTCGTAGCTGTAACACTTGTGTTTTCCCTCGGTTAGGAAAAATTAAGAGGGCTGAACGCCCTTCCTTGACTTATTTAAGGCTGGTGAGATTCTTTTCATGGTACACGGAGAACATTCTCATAGTAGGAACTCTTCAAGTTCAATTTCTCTTATTCTCACTTGAGATAAAAATTTCCATAGCCCCGCAAATCAGGCGGCCTGGCTACGCCACGTTCACATCAGCGGGGACCGAACGGAGGCAGGCGCTCCAGCTCCGGGGCTGAACACTCCACTCCCTCCCGGGAGCGCCGACGTAGGGGAGCCCCGAAGCTGAACCTCCTACATTCCAACGGCAACAAAAGGGGGGTCCCCACCGAACCGCATTCCGGCCAATTGGCCTGCCACCTCATTTCCCTCCCTAACTTCCAAATTCTTTCCCCCCCAAAGTATGAAGGAGAAAGCACACTGCACGCACTCGGTCTCTGAAAATTTCCTCTCCAACCCCGTTGACGCTCATGAGCTCCCCCCAAACTCTACTGAGGGGTCCAATCGGAGACCCCGCACTTCCCTTAGAGCCAATGCCCCACACGGGCCACCCGACAGAACCGGTGGTCCGGGTCCCCTCTACACCTGGACGGCGGGGAGGAGGCGACCGCTCATCCCCGCCCCAAGTCTTCAGTCCCGCACCCCAGAAGTGAAAGCCCCCTGGTCTGGAGCCACGATCGTGGTCTT